AAGTCAGCATATTCGCGCATTGGCACTCACGCCACTGTTGGCAGTAGTATTTAATTTAGAGAAAGTAGAGAATTTCGTTTACTTGGGAACCAGCATTAACACCGATAATAATGTCAGCATTGAAATCCAACGCAGAATCACTCTTGCCAACAAGTGCTACTTTGGACTGAGTAGGCAATTCAGGAGTACAGGAAGTCACTCACCTTGCCTGTGCTGGTATATGGCGCAGAAGCATGGACAATGACAACATCCGATGAGGCGGCTGTTGGAGTATTCGAAAGAAAGATTTTTCGGAAAATTTACGGGCTTTTACGCATTGGTGACAACGACATGCACATAGTGCAGCGAATTAAAATACAGCGGGTCCGCTGGCTTGGCTTGTCGTTCAAATGGACACCGATGCTCCAGCTCTAAAAGTATTCAACTCGGAACCCGCTGGTTGTAGCAGAGGAAGAGGGAAGACCCCACTGCAATGGAAAGGCCAAGTGGAGAAGGACTTGGCTTCACTTGCCATTTCCAAATGTCGTCAGTTGGCACAGAAAAAAAACGACCGGCGTGCTTTGTTGGACTCGGGAAAAATCGCTTAGGCGGTTAAAGCGCGAAATAAGAAGAAGAAGAATAAAGACTTTACGAGCTTAAGGGAATCCCCTAAATATGTAGGTATGACACTCAGTACGCCAATAATACAATAAACGAGTAGATATATACTAGGCTTGGAGAACTTTTGAACTAAAGAGCGAATGGGCCAGCTCTAATTATAAAATTCTAAAATTAATTGAACTAGATCATTAGTTCGTTCATTAAAGTGAACTAAACTTTTCTGTGCCAACCAGGGGCGCACCCGGGAATATATTTAGAGATATATCACCAGAAAATACTGAAAATTCGCTTCAGATAGTATGCTCTCTAAAATACATTTATGCAAGTTTTATGTACAGTATGTATGTAATAAATAAATATGCATGTTTCATAAATTGCACTTTATTTAAATAAAATTATCAAAGAACTCAAACGTTTTTAACCGACTTCAAAAAAGGGGGATGTTATCAATTCGTAGGAATATTTTTTCTATTTTTATGTATTATGCTACCGCATAACTTTGGACCACGTGAACCGATTTCAATAATTCTTTTTTTTTATCGAGTACTCCAAGCGTCGTCCCGTAATTTTGTTAGGTCCGATCATTGGATCATGAAAACATTAACGGTATTCTTAAATTTGTATATGAGAATTGAACTAGAATGAGTTAAAACAAAACACCCTTTTGTCGCTTTATCGTTTATTTTCCAAAACAATTGTTTCAACACGCGCGTGGTGTCATCTTCAGTTGCTGATATTCAACTAGAAAGTTCTAGAAACACAGGATGTGCTAAACTTTCAAAAGTAATACAAAATTTTAAAAAGCAATTTTAATGTTCATTTTCCTCGATTTCTAGTTTACGATAGAGATGGTAATTTTTCACGACCGCCTCATTTTTTTTAATATTTCGAATGCCGAAAAAATTAACAGAACTTGTATTTTTATTATGTAGCTAATTTTGGTGGAACGAATTCGAAGTTGGCAAATTAAGTCTTCGAATCCTTGTTAAGTACATACGTATCAGTAGAAAACTCTTTAAGGCAGCAAAGTGTAAAAACAACAGTAAGTGAGTATGCACTGCATATTTTTAGGACAATGTTTTCATTCGTAGTTAAACTTAAATTCATATAAAATGACGCACAACAAATGGAAATTTTCTTCAATCAAAATTTCTTAAATCAGTTTGCAGCTCTCAAGAAAAAAATTCTCGTATATTTATTTCTTCAATATAAATATATAATAATAAAAAATAAATAAAATAAATAAAATATTTCTTGTGATTTTTCTTGAGAGCTGGATTCTAAGCTTTAAGATTCAGTTTGTATTTGAGGTTATTAGCTTTAGGAGGGTTTGAACCCCAAAACCCACCCCTTGTGTGCCCTAATGGTGCCAACACCCCAATAAAAATGGAATTGTAATCAGGGTTGCCACTTTGGTAAATTGTTACCAAAATTGGTAGAAAAAATTTGGGTTGGTAAAAAGGTAAATTTTTTCTCATTTTGGTAGATTTTTGATGAACTTTCCGTTCCCGATTTATTATACGTAATTATCTTTATAATAAATGTATATCGATATATGGCGAACATATCGCGCTCCATTCAAAACTAATTTTACTGGAATTTTGATTGCCTAAATATTTTGAATGATTATTTAAATATAAAGAAAAAATGGACAGGTACATATGTAATTACGCCTTATGATTGTTCACAAAATAAAAATAAATCAACGCCATTTTTTATTTATGGAAAAAAAATAAAAATAAAACTAACGGGAATTTGAAGCAGCACATTGTTGGCTATACTCAAATAGTATTTGCTTTAAAACTCCATACCTTAAATTGTTCTAAAAAATTCGAAATTTAGACGAAATGTTTTGGAATTTTTGTATATGTTGTATATAGTTTGAATCCCCGATTTTTTTTAGATTTAGTTATAGCAATAAAAATATAGCAATAAAAAAATTTTACTCGAAAAATATTGCGAACATTACATAAAAAATCACTTTTTTAAGTCACAGTATTTGTCTATAACAACTCGAGTTGAAATTTTTCAAATAATGAAGTTTCATTGTTGCCTTTGGTTTCATCACTTCCGCTTTTGGTTGAAGGAAACTGAGAATATGCCAACAAATAATATAATTCAAATACCGTATAACTAGTTAAATAAAAAGTCCTTAAAAACAATTTCAATTCTTATTGGAATAACTAAAAAAAAACAAAAAAAAACTATAGTTTCAATTAAAATAAATAAAAAAATAACAAAACTATGGTTTTTGTTAAAATAAGTATAAAAAAAGTTATTGGTAGATATTTCCCAGATTTGGTAGATTTTTTTCAAGTGGATGGTAAATATTTTTTTTCGTCAGTGGCAGCCCTGATTGTAATTTTAACACATATGACATCTCGTTTTTTGTTGTAAGGGCATAAAGAAAGGCATTTTAATCACAGTATATACAGTAATAAACCTTTTTGCAGTTTTTCACCATTTGGTCCCCGAGGCGTACTTTTGGGTTGTGTGCAGCGTTTTCGTTTTGCGCGCACGGCAACACTTACTGTAGGGAATTTCGCTTCATGATTAGAAAAAGTTCATTTGGAGGATAAAATATACATTATTAAATTTTCTAATTAGAAATTAGTTAAGCTCGAAAATTAGGATAATCATTTTATATGTAAACCTATTATTAGACAAATCAGTTGTAGGTTAGGTTAGAAATTGAACAATAATTTCACTTAATTTTATTCATTTTGCTGATTTAATTTTTATTATTAATTTTCAATTTTAATTCTTTTAATACATGAAATTATCGGTATGATTAATAAAATATGATACTTTTATTTACTCAAGGGCGTGAAAATATCTTGAAAACACCGCATCAATTACTGTTTTTGAGCTTGTAGTTTGAGTATTTCTATTCGTAAATATTCTTTAATTTATTTTTACTTTTAGGAATATAATCTATGGTTCTAGTTCATCTATCGCTAGGTTTACATTAAAGTCATGAATACATATAACATATCAACCTTTGTTTGCAAAATGGGAAGCTAAATTCATTTGTTCGGCATTTCCTCGTGCTCTCGTCTTCTCTTTGTACAATCTTTGAACTTACAGGTTTTTACACGAACCTGCGGAAGTTACAGGAAAAATGATCCCGTACTCCAAAATCATGTAAATGAGAGCGATTTTTGGAGAGTTGTGTACAGAATGAAGTTGCAAGATTTCACCCGATGCTTTTTTTGTTCCCGTACTTTTTGCTGTTACTCACGCTTTATACTCTCACCTCAGAGAATGATTCTGTTGTAAGACATTTTTACAGGATTTTGCACGGAACCTATTAGATCATCCATACATATGTATATATACATATATTCATGTATGTTCATGTAAGTTCTCAACGGTCCCTGTTAAAATAATTTTTTTTTTCAATTCAATTTTTCATTTTTTTTCAATAGACTACTAAACTTATGCCTAAAACCATGCTACGAATATCAAAACCACTTACAACAAATGAGTTCGTGCATGTGTATGTACACACAAACTTAAGTATGTATCCATATACATAGGTACAAAGCCGCATGCATGCGCGGAGTTTTATAATTGGAAGTAATAAGCATTTGTACTGCATTTCCTCTTACTCTGCATATGCCTAAATATATGCAACCATTTGAAGTAGCAAGTAAACATAGGGTGCTTCTAAGGAAATTAAAAAATTTCTGCCGCAATACACAATTTGGAAATTTGGAAACAACCGTGCCACTGGCGCATTGCGTAGTTCCTTTCTTTTCCGCTGCAGCGTTTGTGCATTTGTAGGCGCAGTGCTACAAAAGGAAATGCATGCATAAGGTTGCAAATTCGCAGGGTGCACTTGATGATTTTTTTGTCATTCCGTTATTCGAAAAAATATCTTTGGTGATGCATTTCCGAACGTTCTTTTTTGCAGTTCCCAAACATTTTTTAAGATGCATTTCTGTACGTTTTTTTGCAATTTGCTTCGAAATTTTCTGCTGGACTATGCGTTACAGCTTGGAAAATTTTACCCCTACCGAAACCAAAGATGTATACACATCAAAAGTCTTTCGGTTTTAACAAACACCACGCATTTACTTGTATAAAGTAGGAAAAATATGACTATATTTTTATCCACAAGTGGTATTTCGATATAATTTGTGCTTTTTTTTACAAAATTGTATCTAAAATGTACACAACTAATACGTATTTCTTTATTGTTTTGACAACATTGTCTAATGTAAACGCGCTATTAAGTCGCAGCAGTTGCAAACTGCTTAGCGTTGAAAATAGTCAAACAATAGGTTTTGACCCTGTTCGAAATACAAAATAAGTTTTTTACGGTTTTTCATTTAACTTTTGCATATTAAACCTCTTCATATTATAACTGTTAATACGTTTTGCTTATTTAATTTCAGACAAGACATACAGCTGACATTAAAACATCAGTGCTTTTCTACTGCGGAAAACCTGCTATGGTCACAATGGACTACCAGATTGTAGCAAACAATCTAAGCAGCGACTTTCGCCTATCTTACTACCCACATTCTCTCAAGGATTTTACTAAGATGTTGAGAGAAATTTTTGGAGAAAAATCAAAGCACAAATTATATGGCGACTTCAAAGAAATAGATGTTGAGAAGAGACAAGCATTTTACATACATTTTATTGAGAAACAGTAACTGACTGTAAAATAATGTATTGAAATATATATTTTGAGTTTAAATAATACATAATTTTACTCTAATATGGAAAGGCTCTCCAACTAATTTTCCTTCAAAAACGAGCTTTATACAAACGTGTTGCCGCGACCGCAAACTGTATGTACAAAAATCTCAAGAAATAAAATAAAGCAAGCAAGCAAACAAAATAAAACAAGAAGTATAGGTTCGGGCGAAACCGAACTTTATATACCCGGCGCATTTATTAAATATACACCCCTATTCCGCAACTCTTTCGTATTCGGATTTCGTTACGAATCGAAGAAATGGTATGCTGCAATCAGAATCGTATTTTCGAAATTCGTAACAATGGCATGCCCAAAAACGAACGAGCTTTTTTGCGTAATTTTGTACGAAAACTATTCTGAGTCGGAAGCGAGACAAAAGATGTAAATCGATGTGTGTTTGCAGGAAATATTAGTGGTGTTCTTTTGAACAGATAAATATGCCTTTCCCATATACGTATATTTTGATCAACTACTTTATATGAACAAACAAAAAAGAATGTTTGAGGCTCCTTCTTGAGAAACTTGGGTCCGGTTTAATTATTGTACAATGATTTTTAGTTCTTGGGTCCAAGCGAATAACTTTCACATGCACGTGTAATCAAAGGATTACACTCAAATTTAAAACAAATGTTTCAAATTTCCGAGCATTAGTAGTATGGATGCAAATTTTTGGGAGTAACATCGATACATCGATGTTTCGAAGCAACGGAAAAATTAAAATCGATGCTAAAATACATTGCCAGAAAAACATCGATATATCGATGGTTTCCGATGATACAAACTTTGTTAGCATGTAATCACATTAAGAGGAAAATATAATATATTTCAATTCAAACTTTCTGTAATTCAATTAGAACAAGTAAGAAAGTTTAAGTAAATAATAACATTAAATAACATTAAATACCCGGCGCAAGTATTAAATATATGATTTCCACCTTTCCGAGAGCTACTGCTACATGGTAAACCGGGGTGTATCAATTTTGAGTTAATTAGCGTCCTTAAATTTCGAAATATTGAAGTTTCAAGTATTTCTGAAATTTACCGTTATATGAAAAGGGGCCTCAATTTTAGTCCGATTTCAATAATTTTCAACGTTTTGCTTTTATGTGGCAAGCACAATACACATACCGAGTTTGGTACAAATTGGTAGAACGGTTACCGAGATACATATATGTGATCATAAGTGGGCGGTGCCACGCTCATTTTTCAAAATTTTATCAGAAACGTATTTCTTGGTAAAGAATTGTTGCAAGCATAAATTTTGAATAAATTAGCTTTAATATTTACTGATTTATCGAAGATTTCGTATATCCAAACTACCATTATATGGGATGTGGGTGTGGTTATTGTCCGATTTTAAAAATTTTCAGCCATTGTGATGCTGTAGCAAGGCTAACAACTGTGCCAAGTTTGGAAGAAATGGCTACAGGTGTTACCAAGATATATACATGTAACCATAAGTGAGTGAATAATCTTCAGTAGTTACTAAAATATCGCAGTTTTCGTATTTCTGAAAATTACCGTTATATGGGAGGTAGGCGTGGTTATTGTCCGATTTTGCCTATTTTCAATGCCATCCGTCCTACGTCCTAAAGAAGTGCACGTACCAAGTTTCGTTAAGATATCTAAATTTTTACTCGAGTTAGCGTATGCACAGAAGGACGGACGGACAGACAGTCACCGCTTAATCGATTTCTCTTTTCATTCTGATCATTTATGTGCACATTTGTCTATATCTATCTCGATTCGTTTTGTCTGTTACAAACAACCGTTATGTGAATAAAGTTATAATACCCTTGTATTTATTTACCATTCCTTTACCCTTCCTATAAATAGAATAGAAATGCATGCCGTGGAAAGTTCGCTGAGCCTAAAATTCTAACGCCCAATTTCCTTGAAATTTCAACGGGATCCCGGTTCTTTTTTAATGACTACTCAAGTAGCACAAAAGTCAAAAAAACACCAAAATATTTTGTGTATTTTCTGCATCGCCGTGATATACATTTTCAATATAAAAAATATGCCATTTCTAAGCGCAGTTTTTGAACAGTTTATTTCGATTCAGTGTAAAGGTTATACCGCTTTTTCGTGCATTATTTACACCTACCGTAAATTTTTTTTACTGATTTTCGGCATATATATTATGCCAGTGGTATACAAGTTTTCGTATTGGTATTGGCTCAAATCATACACCATAAAGGTAAAGAATTTACATCATATTCTAGCATAAATATATCTTCATGAGTGTGAAGAGTACAAAAGGATCCGGGGAATAAAATTTACTACTAATCGCACAGCGTTGCCACAGACAAATTTTTTTTCCTACCAAACCATAACCAACTAAAACCTACCAAACATTTTTTTGAGTTTTAATATTTGTTTTCAATGTCAAATTTTTTAAAAACATAGCTAACATACCATTTAGTAAAACTAAAACACAACTAGATTAATAAAAACAAATTAACTGCGTATAACGATTCATTTTACTGTACAGACTTATCCATGGGTACATATGTCTCTTTACACATATATACATATCGTCACTAGATACGAATAAAGACGGGAGCTCAAAATTTGAAAAAGAGGCGTAAAAAAATTCGGCGAACAAAGACTCTTAACATAGGTGACGGCCAATAAAGCCGCGTTAACCTCTTTGACAGCGAAGAAAGGCCCATAAACTTATATCCGCGGTCAACTATATTTTCGAGTGCAACAGTATTCGCCAGAACTCCCCAAAGAATTTTTCCGAGCTCTTTATTCGTGTCTAGTGACGATATTATTATTATCACAACGAAGATACCCGCGCTGAGACCTAAGAAGATATATTGTGCTAAATCAAAATTGTAATCACTCCAACCTTATGCTATTTAAAAAGCTCAGCACTTTGGATGAGGCCATGTTCCAAATTTTAGATGGAGAAGACAATCGTTCTCCAAGGTGTATCAATCTACGATTCATGCTTCGTGGACAGGCACATAGAATATACTCTGGGGTTTCTTTCACCAGTCTCTACAGAAAGATCCATTTAATTAAAACCGTACGTTAATTTGCAGTGTGCTGTCAGATTGCCAGTAAGAGTTCTAAGTTCAAGGTGTCTTTTGAAGTTCCTGCTGGAAAGATTTTTGCATATCCTTGATTGTCTTATTCCCTTTGACTTCCTCCAGTGGCAGCAATTTGAGATTATTCCCAGCTAGCTCCTAAGTAGGTCTGCAGTGTATCCTTTAGATGTACCACAGAAAGGCTAGGGACCATGCAAACGCATTTGGGCTTCACGCTTTGCGAGACAGTCAGCCCTTTCGTTGCCTTCAAACCCTTCATGCGTGACGCTATTGTGGGCTCGCAGGTGGTTCAAGAGTTTGCAAGCCTTGATGCCGTTTTAAAAGTCTCTAAGGCCTTTAACGCTGCCTCAATGTCCGACGTAATATTTATCCTGGCCTCATTTGCCTTCTACGATGACATTCGCGAACACAGACTTCGATTGGGAAGACTTCCGCCTGAAATATGGTGAGCGAGACAGTAACATTGAAAAGTACGGGATCGG